ACAATAACCGAGACTCGTGACACTCGTTATATTCACCGTGCCTTGTTCGGTGCCATGATATTCCTGGCCTGCCTGGGCATCCTGTACGCATTGGTGTGTTTCATTGTCGTAGTGGTGTTCAGAAAACAATCGTGAGTAACATTAACTTATTATATTGTGATAACAGTTGCCAAATTTTGAACTACATTTTTTATGCAATTGTTCAATCGATTTTTTGATATTATTACCGTTCTTGTAATATTTTTTGTGTGATTTTCAGCATAATTTGGAACTCAAGTCCTATCATCAACATTATTATAATCTTGGGGTGCATACTAAACTACATCACTATCATACTGTACGCCTTCGACTGGACAACCACTGCCAATACTGCAAGCTTTTGCAGGGTAAGTAGACAACCTTAATRCTGATTTGTGTTATTGATGAGCAATATTCTACACTCCGACTGATAACTTTTGACTGACGGCAGCGAAATAAAAAACAAATTTTATCGTGCAGCTTTCAACTACCGAGTTTGCAGAATATTAAAAACAGCAGAAACTAAGATGGCTAATAAGAAATACTTTGTTATACCTCCAATATGGCGCAAAATATGCAGACGAAAAATATACTCTCTGRGTAAAAATGGGTTGAACATCCAAAACCGTTGATTATTCACACYTATTTTAGAATACCATATTTATCTCATTAAGGCTCGAGCCTGGACGTTTGCCATTGGGTTCACATTGTCGGTTGGAGGCCTGGTAGCCAAGCTGTGGATCGCTTATTGCGTATTGAGTGAACGCTTTGTTCGACGTTGGGTGAGTTGATTTTACATTTAGTATCATTCTTTTTCATTCTCATTTTTTGAAAATATGATTTATTTCGACTCTGACGACTCTAATGATAAAAGTTGTTAAAGATGGCGTATAAGCAATGCCTGATACATGCATCCGTGGCTCACATTACCGTATTCCCAGATTTCTGTTGAATGAACCAAATCCACTTGAGCGTAATGTTTTGCCCATTTCAGACCACGTGCATTCCACTGAGAGTAGGGATTTTTGTAAGTGTTGTATCCATATTCATGTGTCTTACTTATGAGCAGCGGTTAAACAAAGAAATGATACTATAGGGAATGACAGATGGTCTGAAATAGGGAAACAGTAAATTAGGTTYATTAGATACAGTGGAAGAACGACCATTTCATCTAAACCATTCTTTACGTTTCTTTGTAGAGGAACATTTTAATCTGGATGTTGGCAATCATCCTCTTCTTATTTATCTTGGATTTGATTATCRTGGGATGTTGGGAAGGGTTGGATCCACTTTACGCTACGATGGAGACATACAAAGAACAAGAAGAATATAAGTGCTTCCAGGTATGAGCAGGATGAGGTTGAGACTAAGTGAAAATAAATGACGTCTTTATATTTTGGTTAATTGCCAACACTTTTGACTTTCAGCCAATCACAGACAAGACGTTCAACGCCTATTACTACACCGTAGAACATTGTACATGCCGTACTCCGTTGGCATGGTTACTTATCATTCTTATACTCAAGTTCCTGGTGGTGATATTTGGTGTGTTCCTGGCATGGCAGACACGAAAGCTCTACATCAAGTCGTTGAATGATACCCAGTACTGTGCCTTCTGTTTGTTCGTCGTCTTCTTCTTTGTAGTATTTGGTGTCTTGATTGCATTACTTACCACTGGCTTTCCAAACGTGTTCTTTTCTATCGTTGGGATCTTTTTGTTTCTGTGTACTACTATCATCCTTGGACTTCTTTTTATACACAAGGTGAGATCTTCAGGGAATGCTAACAGGTTTTTTGCCTAATATTCCCTTTCACAGTTCCCTGCGCCATCTTGAAAGGTGTTCTTTAAAAAAGGTCTCTATCATTGCAAGCTCACTGTTCGTCTCACTTCGATGCAAAGGCACGGCTACCTTTCAAGATGGCGCTGGGAACTGTGAAGAGGACTATTCCCTTTCACGAATCAAGGGTTATAAGTCAGTAAAAATTGTCATGTCTCTCCCTTGGTTTGGGGCTTTCATTTCGGTTCTCTCCTGTTTTCCTCTCTGCGCAAAACACAACACGCGTACACCATCATATCTGTGAATTATAGCTGCGCACCGACTTCCATCAGGCACTAGTGTGTGGATCAGGCCAGTCTGTCTTTCAGAATATCGATAATTTTTTTTGATAACTTTTTGAAATCGTACCTTTTTGCATACCATATATAAGAAGGAACAAATCGTTAGGTTTTTCGACCTCTGATTCATGTAGCTAGGACTTTGGCCATTTATGCTGGTGCAAGTTCGGTGCTTATCTTTTGGGTGTCGGTTTTATCTAACAATTTTRTTATTTTTCGTTTCCAGTTGGCACGAGTTGTATGCAAGCCAAGACGTGGTAAACGCATCCTTGTGACGGGAGCTGATTCCGACACCGAATCAACATCCTCAGCAAAAAACTGCTYGTGTTGTGGATTATCTGGTGCCTGTTGCATCGCGTGTTGTGGATGCTTCCCGTGCTGTAACATGTTCTTATGCTGCAGGTCATGTTGTCTGGGCTCTAAGATCCATCCCAGTGAATCCAGTAGTGATGATAAGACGGAGTTCTATATCGCAGGCCACGCTCAGGATAAAGAAGGCCAAATTGCTTATCTATTGAGGAAAATACATGAGGTATAAAGCAATGTTTAGGCTATCTGCTGTTTTATTTGTTGTCATCGACCATATCAAACATTGAGYGTCGTATTTCCCTGTGTCTGTTGTCTGCGAGGCAGACCCACGAGTAACCATCGTCCCCGTATCCTTCCTCGATTTTCAAAAGTTTTTCTTTTTTAACTTGTCTTTTTTTTTTCTTTTCTTTTCTTTTCTTCTTCAAAAATGTTCATGTCGAATTGATCATAACATATATGGAGTGAGCTTTCTCTACTCCAACTTCGACACTAACATATAGAGTAAAACTTGATATGRTACTTGCATGGACATCGACCTTTCTCAAGCGGTAGCCGCTTTGAATGAAAAAAATAGATTTTGTTTTTCTGTACTATCACATTCAAGCACTTCCGGACGAGTAGTAGGTTTTAATACTTGGGAGAATAAACATGGCTGCCACGTGATGAAAGCCCATTGGTGGAAATTCACTACCATAGAAAATCTGCTTTAATAAATAAATATTCTCTATTTAACTTTATACAAGTTTTTGACTGTTTTATTTTGTAAATATCTAGCGGGATGAGGARCTTGCAAGACTTCGACCCAAACACACCTGTACATCCATGTGGACCCAGACAAACGAAGACGACATGGAAGAATACCTGAAACGTGAAGACGGCGATGGAAGCTCCATGGAGAGCGACAACAGCGAAGGGAGTCTGGATAGTAGCGGAAAGAGGCGGAAACGGAAGCSGAACAAATTCAAGATTTATAATCATGGAGCGGATTATTCGCATGTACAAAGTAAAGTTGATACAGGAGTTACTAMATCCCCCGCGAAGTCGCCGAAAACCAAGCGAGCGCACGACGAGAAGTATTATTTGGGTGTCTGGAAGTCGAATGGTGGAAAACCCTCTGATGAAGAGATCACAAAACTACAAGCACAACTCAAGGAGGTCCGTAGGGAATGTATATAAACGTAWAACTTATAATTTACAACTATAACGCGAGGGGCTCTTCCTCGAGGTTCTCCCCACGCGCACTACCACAACATTCAGCATTTGCAACTGACACAAAACACACAAAACACAGCAAAATAGAGATAATTAAGGTCAGWCAAACAAATTTCATACATTTTGGGGAGTCAGGATGGCGTGGTGGTAAAACGCTCGCCTCTCACCTCTGAGGTCCGGGATTTTAATCCCAGTCACCCCATGTGAGCTGAGTTGGTTGGTTCTCTTTCTGACTYCGAGGGTTTTTCCGGTCCTCCGGTTTTCCCTCCCTCGTCTCAAAATCAACCCTAACTAATTCAAACTGGTTATAGCTGTGCTCCGGGGTCATATGAACCTTACAGCGGCTGCCAGAGGCGCCTTCACATGCTTTCAGTTCGACCCCGTTGAGCTGCGCCACTGTTGTACTTGCGGTGGTGATAAGCGATGACAAGTTCTTTTTTTCAGTTTTTTTACATGAAGCTCAGTCGTGAACCGAAATCGCGGCACGAACAACACCGCCTGCCGCTGCACCACCCATGCTCTCCAAAGACAAAAGAAAAAGATAATTATCAAATTATTAACATAAATACTAAACATGCATTTAARCAAAGATGGTATTCATCGTTTCTTCTGTTTTGTTTTTATTTAATATTAATAGAGAGACAAGGAAATCGAGAAACTGAGAAATGAAAAAGAAGTACAGACGTCAGTAGTGATTCACCAGCCAAACAGTCTATCTAACAAAGTAGAGGTAAGTCAYCCATGATCAGCTGTAAAAAAGATGGGTCTCTCTGCTTACACGATAAAAATAGCGTTAGAGGATTTGCCTTTTACCTCTGAGGTGTCGAGTTCGATTGCATTCGCAGTTCCCGGCGCCATCTTGAAATGTAGCCGTGCCTTGGCATCGAAGCGAGACGAACGGTGAACTATACTTGCAATGATAAAAACATAAAGGTGTTAAAAAAGGTCTCTATCATTGCAAGCTCACCGTTCGTCTCGCTTCGATGCAAAGGCACGGCTACATTTCAAGATGGCGTCGGGAACTGCATCGAACTCGGACTTCGATTCGTGACATGATTAGATAAGATGAGATGTTGGTTGAAGGCTACGTTTGTTTTGAACTGGACATAACCTTTAACAACACAAATCAACCCCAGAAAACATAGACATTATAGAATAGGCGTTTTTAATACGAATAAGCATTACATCCTTCGCTAAMTTTTTCGCGTGCTGTTTTGTTTGCAGATTGTCAACGAGCAAACTCCAGACACCCACGAGAAACAGTGTCAGACGGACGATAGTYTTCTATACATTGAACAGTCTCCACGTGACAAACCTAATGAGGTTGTGGTAGTCATGGAAACACCAGTGAAAAAGGAAGAGTCCCCACGTGAAAAACCAAATGACGTCATCGTAGTTATGGAAACACCGGTGAAGACGRAATCGTCTCCAAGTAAAAAGCCTGCCAAAGGAAAGAAAAATGCAAAAACGGAACCTAAAGAAAATGTCACTGTGGTAGAAGTGAAAAGCAAGAAGAAAAAGAAAAAGAAAGAAGCAGAACCAGTTGTAAAATCCCCAGATGAATGGCTCTTTGGGAAATCTGACGACGGAAAGGAAAAGCAGGTTGAGAAGAAAGATGTGAATGTAATCGTTGTGGCGCAAACAGCAGTGGAAGAAGAGAAAAAGGATGAGCCTGTGATAGAAGAAGATAAGAAAACAACTGTTGTTTTCATTCGACCTGAAGAATCAAAGAAAAAAGAGGAGGATAAGAGACAGAGCCATGATGGAAGTGTTACGAATGTTATCATAGTTAGACCTGATGACGCACAAGGAAACGAGGAAAATAAAGATGATGAAGAGAAGAAAAAGAAAGAGGAAGACGAAACAAGAGAGGAAGAGAAGAAAAGAAGGGAAGAGGAGCAAAGAATAGAAGAAGAAAAACGACAAGATGAAATGAGGAAAGGGGAAGAGAAAAGAAAGGAAGAAGAGAAACAAAAAGAAGAGGAAAAACAGAAAGAAGAAGAAAAACGAAAAATGGAAGAAAAACTAAAAGAAGAGGAGGAAAGGAAAGAGGAGGAGAAAAGAAAAGAAGACGAAAAAAGAAAAGAAGAAGAAAAGCGACAAGAAGAAGAAAGACTGGAAGAAGAGAAACGAAAAGAACAAGAACTTAAAGAAGAAGAAGAAAGAAAAAGAAAAGAAGAACCGGAAAGAAAACAAGAGGAGGAACGAAAGAGACAAGAAGAGGAAATGAAAAAAGAGGAAGAAGAAAGGGAAAAAGAACGAAAGGAACAAGAAGAAAAACAAAAAGAAGAAGAGAAAAMGATAGACAAACCCAATGAAGACATTGATGATGAAGAAACCATTCCAATAAGACCACCTCAAAACACTCCTGCTAGTGTCGATGGGCCCCARGAAGAGGACAACAAGAAAGACGACCAGAAGAATAAAGATGATGCAATAGAAGAGGAAGGAGATAGAGAACCCGAGAAAGATGATGACGATAACGAGAGAGAAGGCGGTGATGATAAAGATGACGATAAAGTTAATGGCAATGATGACAAAGATGATGACAAAGATGATAATGAAAACGAAGATTACGATGATTATGATGCAAGCGGCACTGACGATGGAGATGGTGATGATAATGATACTAAAAATGAAGAGGCACCAAGTGACCAGAAAGGGGACAAAGAGGACAAAAAAAATTCTACAAAACCGAAGAGAAAACCAAAGAAACCGATTGGTGGTAAACTGAACTGGAATGCAGCATCCAAAATCGACACCTCTAGCGGMTACAAGAAAAAACCTCGCTCCAAAATCAAGTCGTACAAGGTCGATTATTCCCACGTAAAGTCAAAATATTCCTACGGTGTTACWAAGAAGGATCARGATGAAAAGAAGGAAAAGGAAGAGAAAGAAAAAGAAAAGAAAAAGAAAGCAAGTATCAAAGGAAAACGATGGAATCCCAACAGCACGAATACCAAGAAGTAACTGGTTGAACTGGAGCCCTGCAACGTAACATTGTTGAAGGAATAAAAGACGTAGGAAAGGAAAAACACGACATAACGTTATGAATAAGATTTAGAACGTGTGTGGTATGTGTTGTCATAAATCACATGCCTTGAGCAATCAGAAAGCTGGATTTAAAAGAGATATAATTCAAGTTCACCGATCTTGAACTAAAATAAATGAAAATTTCCGAAACATCGATGGAAGCGAGAAAGAACAAAATATAACATAAACGATGTAATTCATGAGGAAGAAAATGTATGAAAATAATGTGGTGGAAAAAGTGGGAAGGACATTAACAGCCGATAGTTTATTGCACCATTTGCCAGCGCTTTATTGAAAGAATTTACAACCAACGTCTTAAATATCACAGTGCAATTGTTTGGAAAAACAAAAACTGATTTGCATTCAAACGGATGAACACTGTTATGGACAAGAAAAAAGGAATACAGACGTTGGGCATTTAGGAAAAAAAGTTTTCTTCAAGAAAAGCTCATGTAATTAATAAGTAGAACTTAGATTTTGGAAAGTATTATTATAAAGGACTTTTGTAAGGAAAACCTGGAACAATGAAATATGCAGATAWTGGCATATAAATATTCAATGAAGATGTCCCATATTGACATTTATGTATTCTTAGTA